CATAAACACACTATGAACCTTAGCAGGAGTTCCAAGACCTTTCAGGACAACAAGCTGTTGATAACCTAAAAATCTTCTTGCATGCCATCACCTCTAAAGCAGAACTTGCCAGAAAACACGCCTAGTAGCAGAAGGTAACGTTTCAGGTAATACAAATCACAGAATCATAGAATGGTTAGGGTTGGAAAGGACCTTTAGATCATCTAGTTCCAACCCCCCTGCCATGGGCAGGGACAAAAGTCTTCTGTCCTAAAGTAACAAGACAACGTATTACAAGCACTCAAGGATTAAGTACATTGCAGGAGAAAGGAAAAGCCCATAGGCTTTCTTTTGCAGGAAAACTTCTGATCGACTACTATTGCTCCATCAGCAGAGAAAGTTGCACTGTATGCATTATCAGCTTTGTTTAACTATGTTCCAAGAAAGTTCAAACAATTTAATGGTTAAACAGGAAGAAAAAAAAAAAAAACACAAAAAAAAACCCTACACACAGAAAAGAATGCCTGCTTACATTTGAGTTTGCATGTAGAAGCACACAGGCAAAAGCTGTGGTGTAACATAGCTGTTAACTGCCTGTTCTCAGTTTTCTTCTCCTAATGCTGCAGTGGCAATATCTGTAAAACAGTCTGAAATGCCACAGAGAACTGTGGACAGTGGTCCTACATTTTTCATCTCAGTTCATCCCTTCTGAACTTTGTAGGTGCATAATTAAAGATATCTGTTTGACAAATCTAGTGAGAAGTACTTCTCAGGCATAAGCCTTAATTTGCACCTCAAAGATTTATACAAGATGTATTGGATGTAGTTGTTAACAGCTCTGCAGTCAAACATTTTCCATTGGCAGCCTCTTGTCCACGTCTGATAGCTGCTCAGCTTTACTGCATTAAGCCCATACAAAAGTCTTAGTCTTGAAAGACACAGCTCATCTGGCATTCCAACAAAGGAATACCCTCGACAGAAAGGATCAGGAAGTTAAAGACCAAACAAACAAAGCCTAGTACTTTAGAATCTCCTGAAGAACATGTGGAAAGGGAAAGATTTGTTCATATTAACTTTACACTGAAAAAAAAAAATAATCATGCTACAAAGCATAAGTCATATTTTTTTAATTAAATATTGAACTAACAAAAATAATTTAAAACCTAGCTCAGGTTTTTAAGAAAACTATAGTTTGCAGACTCTCCTAAGAGTATTGCACATAGATTCAAACCTTGAAGTAGCAAGTAGTAAAGCATTATGGGGAAAAAGTGCTCAGAATCAGAGAATATTTTTGAAGTTTCATAATATAACTGACAAATTCCAAGAACAAACAATTCTAGAAGCAAACTTTGGCATCCTCACACACAAACCAAAATCCTGTAAATGCACCTGTTGATATTTGTGAGTAGAGAAGACATCCTGACGGGAAAAAAAACAAAAGGGAAAAATTATTATTAAGCTACTTGACTGTTACTTCCTTTAGCATAAACGTCATGTGTGCCATGTATATCCCAGGAGAAGCTTTCCTTAAAAGTCTTCTAAATGTTTGTTCACAGCACTGGGCTTTAAATCTAAACATTTAGGTTTCTAAAGTTCTCTCTGAGGCCTGTTTAGAGTCTTGTATGCTTTCAAATAAAGACCTCAGTGTTTTGTTCTCATACCCAGTATGTTTGTCTGTCTCCCAAATGGAGCCAACAACTTCTCTTTTCATTTTATTGCTCTGTTTTAAAGTAGCCATTTTCACTCATCTTCTTTTCTTTTCTTCACTCATCTTCACTCATTTTCTTTTCATCACTCCTGATGCGTATCAATAGGAAGTATTTGAGATTTTGATGACTCTGGTGGGCCAGTAAAAGGGATTTCCAAGTAAATAAGATGTAGCCCAGTGTTGGCTAACCTTTGCTCATGTGAACAGTAATGTGAAGGTCAAGAGGGCTCCTCCCTGCATGAATAGCTCCTTTATCATTAAGCTGATGTTTCACAATCAGGATGGAGTAATAAAGAGTAAAAGTAAGGAACTGGAGAAGAGTGAAATGACTGAACTGCCTTAACATTTGCTTTACTCTCCAAACCTCATTCGTACAACAGGGCTGGCAAAGGTGTCATTACTGTGGATCTTCGCCTTCTCCCCCTCTTCCTAAAGAGTCCTAGGGCTTTGGCCCACAGCAGCAAGAGGCAAGGACAAGCTATAAATTTTTATCAAGACAGAGATATTACACTACTTTTAAGGGTCCACAATGCCAATATATATTGCAGTTACATTACTATTAAAAACACTTATTTTTGTAGATATTCCAGTGTCATAAGATACCTTGTTCCAATGCAATTGTACTTATTGAGGAGAGATTACATAGTTCCTTGTCCAAAGACATGGTTGTGGCTGAGTGCCTTTGGAGGCCTGCATAAATGGTCATGTGAAGCACGTTAATTGAGAATCTGTGCTGATAACCTACTTATCTTTTTAAGTGGTTAAGATGACACTACAGATCTTTGTAGCCATTCCACACAGAGTTTCCATTGCACTTACAGCTAACATTAGGCTCAGATGAATACACAAGCTAACCTGGATGGGGAACAATGGCAAAAGAGAGATCAGTCTCTGAATAACTCAATCCTTGTCACCTTTCAGTCCGCTTCTGGAAACAGAATTGTTATTGCTAACACAACATTTCTTAGCATCCTTGCATTCTACCAACAACCATTTTAAGTTTTATAGTTGGTGATATTTGTAGATCTTTGTCCAGTGTGTTTTAAATGGGGATATTAAAAAGTATCAGTAAAGTAATAGCAAAGGTCAATGTGGCTCTGAAAAGGCATGTGTCAGTGAGGATCTCAAGCAGACTGGGAGAAAAAGTTCTAAAATAAAGACTAAATGTAATTTAATAATAAATAAATGTAAAGAGACAAGAGCAGAGAAATTAGTCAAATAATTTAAAAACTTATTCTTAAGTTTGAGTAGTCCATGGAAGAGGCTAAAGAGGTTCACGAGAACAAAACAGAGGTGGGGATGGGGATGCACATTTTCAAATCTACAATATTCTAGATATATTTGGAGGTTTAATATGAGACCAGGATCATTGGGACTTGCCAAAAGAGAACATATGTTAGCAATGTGCTGAAGATTCAGCAGAACCTGACAGAAGCAACATAGATAGTGGTTGAGGATGGACAACTACAAAGACTTTTTCTGATATACTTTATAGTTCTCTCAGGATAAAATCCTGATGTCCTTACATGATTTCCCCCATCCCAGCTAGCTTCAGCTGGGCTAGATTTCACCTTGCCATCCTCCTCTACAAGAAATGCCACTCGCCTTTCTTTCAATCACTTCTCATATAGAAGTTGAATAAGAACAGGAACAAAACTACAAGTCTGGAAGAAAACAGACAGTGAAGTTTTCAGAAAAATCTTTCTGCCACTTCAGGATTAATTGTGATAAAGATCACAGGAAAACAAAACAACTAATGATACTCTCATATCAGTATGAATTTCATCCTAATTTCAGCCAGAATCTAGATTTACATTTTGTCTGCAGCAAGTTAAACATGCCAGGCTTAACACACATCCCAGTCCAAATAAGGGTCTTTTCTGAAGGATATGAGAACAGGTTTGGGATATAACCTAGAATAAGATTTCAGCAAGATTCCAGGAAAATCCTGCTCAAAAAAAAACCCAGCATGTTTCATTTTCCAACATCGCTTTATAATCTCAAGCTTCTATCTAGCCGTTCTACTTTATACCACGAAAACACATTTAATAGGGTACAAAGATGGTAACAGGAAGAACAATGCCACCAGAAAGCTCTGCTATCTGGAGCAGACAGAAAGCAGCCACCAAATGAAGAAAGAGAATTTAAACCATAAACTTTTAGGATCAAGAACTCTTCTACGCTTTCACAGTATTGATTACACCAATACAACTAATGAGCCATTTCCTCAGTCTTCTGTATTTTGGCATTTTAGTAAACTTAGCGACTTTAAATATAAAATAATAATTTAAAAGAAATCCCAGAAGATATAGTCAATATAAACATCTCTGGAGTAAAGTCCCAAATTACTCATTCTCATCACTGGAGCCCCACATATCTGGGCAAACTGTTTTTTTTATGGCTCACCATTTCTTGTCACCACATTTTGATGGATGCAACATCCGTAAGAAGGCACTAACCAAGTTTGTACTGCTCTATGATTTAATACACGCTACTGATTAGTGATTCGTTTTGAAGAAGTATTCTGCCAGATGAGCAAGATAGGACGATTACCAACTCCTTATAGCCTGGGAGGAAGTAATTGTCCTGGAATCAGAATAACCGCACGAGAGTTGTGAGCATCCCTCCACGCAAGCCGATAACCCCAACTGACCTCGGGACCCGCACCCAACCCCCAGACACGTTTTCAGCATTTAATACGAAAATAAAGTAAAAAAAAGAGAAGGGAAAGGACATCAGACCAAACAGAACAGGATCAAGACTGGCTTCACCTCGTAACACAAGACACATTGAGGCAGAAGAAACCACCCCATGTGCTAAAACAAGAGCTGCATTCACGGCTACCAGAGGCGTTGCGGGAGCACGCTGCGTGCGTGAGCCCGCTCCTCCAGCCCCAGGACCAGGCAGCAAAAACTGAAATCAACCCCGACCGCCTTCACCACTTCTCGGGAGAAGAGGAGGAAACGCGGACCTATTTAATCACTCTACCATTAAGTAGTTAGGCATAATTAAGAGGTTTCCCCGCGCTCCCGCTAGAGGGGCAGCTTTTAGGCACCGAGCTTTGTGGGGACGCAGCTACGGTGGGGTGATCCCGGGGAGCCGTCCGGCTCCGCAGCCCGCAGCTCCCCTCCGCCGCCCCAAGGCGCAGTATTTTCCTCTCCGAGGCGCCCGGCAGCACCTGCTGCTGCCGCCCTGCACCCCCGGGCCCGGCTCCGGCGGCGCCCGCTGTACCTGCAGGATCTTGTCCAGCCCCTCTTGGCCCAGGCAAGGGAACTGCTTAAGCAGCTCCGTCTTCTGCCGCTTGTAGTCGTCGGTAGCCGAGCGCCAATGCGGCTCTTCCAGCACCTCGAAGATCGCCGCCCCGATGGACAGGTAGAAGATGATGGCCGAGGTCAGTAAGGGGCCCCTGTCCACCATGGTGCCGGCGGGAGGACGGGCTGGGGCGGCTGCCCCGCGCTGCGGCTGTAGGTGCCTGAAGCCGCCCTGTCCTTCCCCTGACAGTTCTGGTTTCCCTCGCCGTCCGCCGTGCTGCCTCTCCCAGCCTCTGCCGCGTTCCCTTAGTCTTCCACACTCCCCTCCCACTCTCTCTCCTCCTCCCTTCTTTCTTTCCTCCCTCCTCCGCTCCCCCTGGTCTTCTCCCCTCCCTCCTCAGCACCAATTTGAATTTGGTGCTCTCCCGCTTCCTCCCCCTACCCGCCCGCGCATGCGAGGCTGCCGCCAGGGGAAGGGCCGGCGGGGCGCCCCTGCGCCCGCCAAAGGTTGGCCCCGCCTCACGGCTGCGGTGAGCGGCGGTTGGGTCCGGCCACCACCATCGCTCGCCCGCGGGGGTCCGCCTGAAGGGGGGGAGCGGAGTCGCGACCTCCGCTCTTCTCGCCCTGCCGTGGGGAAGAGTGTGTGGCGGCCGCTGAGCTGAGCCCGACCCCGACCCCGACCCCGACGCCTTCCCCCTGAGCGGGTGGTCCCTGCGCCCGGAGCCGCGCTTCGCGCTCCGTGTTTTGCCTTAAGGGAGAAGGGTTGACGTCCCTCCGTTCCCTCGTGCTGCCAGGTTCAGTGGAATTTATCGTTTTCGAAGCTGGAACGCTGTGAAAGGAGAGCAGTGGCAAAGCAGAGGGGGAAGGCAAGCAAGAGCTCTGAGGAGAAAAAGGGGGGCTGTTGGCTGGTTTCTCCCATCCCCGAGATTTCCACAAGTGTGTGTTACAGATCCTTCACAGCAGGGACTGAGTCTCCCTTCATGCATTTTGTGCTTTCAATAAATGCTACTATGCATGCCTGTGTGCGTGTTTGGGAGCAAGGAGAAACACTGGCTAGTTATTTTCCACAGGATGCTCAAAACCCCATCTGGGCTGAAGCTGCGTTGAAGCTCGAAGCTCGCCCCGTTCATGAAGCCTTTCATAGGAGCTGCTGCTTACACCAGTGCACAAGTGCAGGCTTCTCCATGTTCACACTTCGAGGCAGAAGGAAGGCAACGCAACTGTTTGGAATAGATGGGGCTGGAAATAGGGCCAAATGGGTCAGGGAAAGAGCAAGTCAGTGAGAGGATACAGCAATGTGTTTTGCACCCTAGCAAAGTGCTTTGTGATTCACCATATAGACACTGTTTTTGTGGGGATAGCTTTTTTTCTGCCTTCTCCAGACACATACACACAACCCCCAACAGGAGGAAGACACTAAAAAATAGAGTTGTCCATAATCAATTGCATTAAGACTAAGGATTTGAGGATATATAGGTATGCAAACTGGAGTCCACACACCAAGAAGCTGAGAGGAGCCAGATGAAATGTCTCACGCAGACATAATTGAAACAGAAGAAAGGAGACTAGAGCAGAATGGGAAAGAGGAAGAAAGTAAGTAGAAAATACACAGCAGAGTATGAAAAAACAAAAAGGAGAGCATGCGGAAGGCAAAGGAATGTGCCTTGGTTAGGAGGTATCCAGAGACACCTATCTGTAAAACTTCGATCATGCACAGTGGCTACTCTTGTGTGAGACTACCCACAGAAAATTATATGACCCTTAATCAGTCCTTCCAAATAAAGTGTCTAGTGCTCAGTGAAAATACATCTGCAGGAGGTTCCCAGCAGCCTATAAGCAGGACTGGAGAAACCACAAAATCCACAAGCACGTTACGTGATCAGCATCATTATCTGCATGGGATTCCCCAGTTGTGTAAAGAAAACATTAAGAAAAGGATTGCCAAACTGTAATAGTAACAAAAATGTAACCAACCAAGCAACAAAATAACATATATGTGTTAAAGGAGGGATCAAATAGAAAGCATCATAAGGAACATTTTTAAAATAACAAGTGTCTTTAGAGAAACTACAGTAACATTTTTTATTAAGGCAAAAATAGGGGATGTTTTATGAAGTTGTAAAGCAGAACTGTTAACTAAAATGGAAAGAATTTCATGATGCATAATTATCACACTAAAATTATTCCCAGGTGTTATCACTTGGCCCAAGACCTCTGCAAAACTTGAAAAGCCATTGGCCACATTGCCTCACTTGCTGATTTAAAATTAAAGTTTAGAAACTGTAAGGTGTGTAAATACTTATGGCAAGTGACTGAAATTATTGAGGTAGAACCGTTCCCATAGGCAAACTATGATATCATTTTCTTTTTGGTGCTCTTGCACCTTCTGAGTCACCTGCAAATGGTTAGATTATTCCAACAGCAGCAGCAGTAGCCTGACACATTATAGCAATATTACACTTGTGTGTTCCTGACCCTATAATACATCTGTGCTTCATAACTGGAAGGTATTTGATTAAATTTTGAAACTGTACCCTTCTCCATCTGCCTCCAAGTCTCTAAAGGCCAATTTATACCACTGAAACACTATCTTAAAGGCACAAGGAATGACATGAATGACCCTGAACCTACTGCAATTACAAAGCACAGATGAGAGCAAAACCAGTTCCAGGCATTTTATAAAAAGTTTGCAATTTCTATTCAACATTTCTGCTTTCCAGTCTAAACTCCCGATCATGATTGTGATAATTAGTGCTCTCAGTAACTGAGTCAGTCAGTGTTTAAAAACAAACAAACCTGTAAGTCACATACCATTTTTCCTTGTGTTGAAATGCTGTTGCTGTTGATAGACTGACTCCTTGAGTTTCTCTTAATTTCAAAGAGGTGAGCCTGGTGAAGGAGGACCGTCCAGAGGAATAGTCTATCCCCTTAGGAGCTGAAGCCAACAGCTCCCACAGATAGAAGCAATCCTCTGAATATCAACAAACTTCTTGCATTTAGATACTTCTCTTTGAGTCCTTTGTCTTTTGCAGAACAAATTACAAGGCATAATTTCATGCTGCTGTCCAAGTGAGTGTGGCAAGAAGGAATATTTTTTTTTTAGCTGGCCTCTTCTTATACTTCCTGATCTAAAATGCCTCTCCTGACCTCATAAAAGATCCTATATCCTTTTATTCATGGCCATTTTCTACTCTCTGTTTCCCTTGGATTAAACAGTACCCTTATTGTTAACCCACAGCACCTGCCACATAGGCCCCACAGCTTTTCATGCTGGCTAAGTTAATGAAAAGGCTGGGGTTATTCACTCAAAGGCTTGCAAATCTCATTAAAAAATCAGGCGGGAAACAGCAGATAGCACTGTGGTGAGCAATACCATAAGTATCAATCATTTATATTATTTGCATAGGTCATTATTTCAGGCTGTCCAGCCCCAAAGGAAATCTCTTTCATCCAAGCTGTATGTCTAAGACACATTTGCTGTACAGATGTTTCCTAGAACAGCCTGAAATGATTGGATAAATGTCAGAAGATGTTTTAGATACATCAAATAAAAGACATTATTTGGGCAAAGGAAACCTGTCATGTAGTGGCAAAGACTGCATGTTGTACTGAGTATGAAATAAGACCTCTTCAAGGCTCTGCCGTTTTTCACTTGGAAGTCTGGTTTTGCCTGGTTGATGGCCTGTTCTCAGTAATGCCTGTCAACTCTACATCTGTCACTTTTCTCTATGCATTGAAAGTTGGACAACTCCAACATTGCTTTCAAGTGCTATGCATCTAGCCATGTATGGTTTTAAGTAAGTTGAGGGGTGTACTATTGTGACAAGCAGTTTGCCTTCTCTGGTACAGTCCAGTATATGGAAAGGATAAGGGTGGTCTGCAGATGATGTAGAATTTAATATGAGACATTTGTAGATAGTTCAAAAATTCTCTGTGGGATTGTTCACAATTCTTGACCTAAGTATTTACACTTAGCATGTTTTGTGCCCTGAATGTACAGTAACACATACTAAATAATAATAAAGAAACCAACCTGCATACCACTGCACCAGACTTCTTCACCCGTGGACAGATAATGAGTGAACAAACACCACGTGATAGACATTAGTCATGCTGCTTAATGAATAACTGGTGATGAGTACAATACCTGTGTGGAATGGCTGTAATGTGTTCAAGGAAAAATATGCATTTGGATCATTTGTTTTTCACTGAGTTACCTGCAGTATTCAAGAGAAATGTCTTCATCAAGAAGCCCAGGTATTTCAACATTTTTTCTGTGTGTATTTCCATGACTGCCTTCCTCAGCCATCCACAGCAGTCACTGGATGATGAAACCCAGTTTCCTTCAAAATATTCTATGAAAAAAAGACTGGCCTTCTCTTTCTACTTCACCGTGGCCTCAGTCTTGTAGACAAACACAGGTAGCACCAAATGCTTATGATAGTCCTTCACACTGACAATGTCAGTGATTTATACAGTTCAGCATACACCTAGGCAAAAACACCCAGCTAGGACAATGTTGGTCCTGGGTTTTACCATCATACCTGAAGCACATTACTATTCTAGATAGTATGCTCAAGGCTAGCTGAGCGCCATGGTAACAGAGTCAGTGAATAATGCAACAATCTGTTATTTGGTTATGTAAAACATCACTGTTGAGTCTTGGTTTTGTGTCATTAAGATGGATAAATGTCTGCACATTGCTTTGAGACTTATTTCCCAAGCCAGTTTAAATTAACTTTTACCAGTCTTGTGTCACAAAGGGCAAAAGTCTTCTCCAGTGTTACTGCTTCTGCCTGAATATGACAGGGGCATATTCCAGGGGAGAATTCAAGGAGCTGTTTGCCGCCCCTGTCTCTCAGTTGGGTTGTGCAGCTGTATGCCAAGTTGTCCACAGAGAACCTTGTGTGTGACCAGGCAGTTCCCACATCCACATCAAGCTCCCTTCCATGTGTGGCATGTAGTGTTCACATTTTGTAAGTCAACATCCCTGAAGAGATGTTCCCACCTACCTCTTCCCTTTATAGAAACAAAGTCACCACATTAATTTTGGCAGAGGAAAAAGCAGAGGGAGGGTTGATGGCTTTTTTTTTTTTCCCTTCTTGAGTGAATAGAGTCTTGTGGATAACAAATGAGGACA